TTGGAAATGAAACATCCTGTCTGACGCAACCCTCCTGTCTCCCGGTATGGCCGCCCTTGACACTCAGCCACCTGTAATTAGAGAAACTACTAGCTGAATGCGTGCCACGCTGGTTTTCTTTTTATAAAACCCATTCTATTTTTATAAAACCAAGTCACAGGAAATAATTTCCTTTTCTTTTCTGCTAGGTCGCAGAGCCCAGAATTGTGACCTGAGAAAGAGATGAACTGTAACGGCCCAGGTTGTGGTGGCACTTGGACAGTACAGGAAGAAGTGCAGGGGACATGGAGATGGGAGAGGGGAGGGTGATGTGTCACAGCCTGGAAAAGATGAAGGAGTCAGCCAAGCAGTCCTGGGGGAGGAGGGGAGGGGTTGGGTCATTTCCGGAAGAGACATTTAACTTGATTGGTAAACAGGAAGTTCCAGGGCAGATGTATGATGAGCAAGAGACACAGTGGAGTTTGTTTTGTTAGCTTGTTTCTGACAACAAGCACAGTTTATATGAGATAGCACAGCTGCAGCAAAGGAATGCTCCCAGTTATGGCCCCAAATGGAACCATTTTTCCCGATTTATGGATAGAAAATGAAGGGACTAGAAACAAAAACCAAGCACCACTCCAATATTCCCTGACCAGAGAGTAAAAGGCACAGTTTCACTAAAGAGTGAACTGCTGTCTTTATCCTGTCTTTCCTTGCCTTTTTTTTTTCCTTTTCTTCCACAATATTTTTCCTTAGACAACAAAGAAAATCACACATTCTCAAATACTTCTGGACTGACGGATGCTCATTCATGCAAACTTTTGCTGACATACCTGTAGCTAGTGGTTTATTACCCAGCGCAATGTAGAGAAGTTTTTATGCATAGGATACCTCAAAACCAGACAAGAGGGTGCTGGGAATGCTAACACACACTGGAAGGCCAGCACCCTGAGGCTGATGCTGGAAGGTGGCCCATTACAGCCCAGCCCAACTCAAGGAATTTAGCAACTTAATGAGACCCTGTCTCAAAATGAAAGATTTAAAAAAAGGGTGGGTCTGTAGGTCAGTGAAAAGGCCCCGGGTTCAGTTCCCAGCACACACACACACACACACACACACACACACATTCACACACGATTCAGAAGGTCGGCCTTATTTTGGAGTATAATTATAGGTGATCCTGGGAAATGGAACACACAGCTTTCCAGATGCTTGGCTTGGCGCTCGGGCTTTTCTTCATCTGATGCTTATGCATCTGTCTGGTGCAGGTGTTGTCTGGGATGCAGCTACGGAAAGCAAGGTTAAGGAATGTTAGACAAATCACCCAAGGGCCTGGGACAATTCGTGTTGGGGCTTTGCGTGCCATCAGCTCCTTTTGCTGAGTCCCCACACTGCCCTTTTCCGCCACCTCGAACACTGCAGCAGCTCGGGCTACAAATGCAATTGACATCTTAACCTGGGCTTAATCCTACACAGCGGCCGAGAGAGAGGTGAGGGGTAGAGGGAAAGAGGTAAAATTGTGCCTTAAGGAGCACAGGATGAGCCGGCAGGTCGGGGATCCCTGCAGCTTTTAAAAGAGAAATATCAAAAAACATCCTTTGCTTCCAACTGAAGGCTTGAGTACATCTGGGCGAGCTGGTAAGTGGCTCTGAAGAAACTTTAGATTTCTTCTTCTCACTGCTCTGTGTGTGTGTGTGTGTGTGTGTGTGTGTGTGTGTGTGTGTGTGTGTGTGTGTGTGTGTGTGTGTGTGTGTGTTTCTTCTTCTCACTGCTGTGTGTGTGTGTGTGTGTGTGTGTGTGTGTGTCGCCATTCTGAGCTTCTTGATGAACAGCGCCATCTAGTGACTATAGCGTTAACTCCAGGCAGGTAGGGTGGATCTTGAAGGTTTCAGAATTAAAACATGGGGAATTGATTTAAAAACCTGGAAGAGACCCAGAGACTCCTTACGGTCCTCCGGGGGGTAGGGGTGGGGGTGGGTGGAAACCTTTTCCAAATATAAATGGAGAACATAGGTATTTCCTTCACCACTACCTCTGGAAGGAGAAGAAATTTGGAAAGGATATATATTTATTATTTTACTTTTGCAATTCTGGGATCAAACTTAGAACCTTGCGCATGCTAGGCAAATACTCTCCCTTAAGATACATCCCCGCCCTAGTCAGCAAATCGTTGCCAAGTGTCTATTATGTGGCAGCCACAGTTCTAGTCTTAGGAACACACCACTGGATAAAATAAATAAAGATTTCTACCTTGCATAGAGAAGAGAACATGAGTTAAAAATAAATCGTATGATATCTAAACAGTTATAAGTGCTGATAAGAACTATAAAGTGGTGGGAACGTGTCCTGGAATGTTGGGTGGGTCAGGGTAAGGGGATTGCAGAGGCTTTGCTGGCAGGTTCCATTTGGGCATAGACCTGAGAGAGAGAGAGGGAGCAGGTTATTTAGTCTCAGGATGAAAGCATTTGAGCCCAGACAAATCCCTATGCTCACGGGACAGCAGGGTAGTCAGATGGCTAAGGTAGAGGGAAGGGGATATTTTGGTAGGAAAAGATCTCGGAATGGTAATGTGTGGCAGCTGGGAGTATGTGAAAATCCCTGGATATTTTGGCTTGCATTTTGACTGTATCATTCAGGCAGCTGTATTGAAAATGAATTGAAGGAGTCTTGAAAAATTCACAATTCACCTTGGCTTGTTAAGAGTGCTAGAAAGCCCAGTATCATACTTAGTATTAAACACTGTCTGGAAGTACTTCTCACGCATAGATAAATATGCACTAGCCTTGTGTGGCACCTAAGGAAGTGAAAATCAGTTATGGTAAACAGACTGAAAAGTCCCCACTGGTCATAAATCAGGGTGGTGCAAGGCCAACAGACCCTGGTATGCAACCCAAGGCCACACCACAGCTGCAATACTATTGACATAGAATGACTCAGTCTTTCTTAGACTTTCCAAGACCCACATTATCCCTCTTGCTTCCTGAGCAAAGATTTTGGATCTAACCACTTTCAAACCCACCTGTTTCATGGCACACTTAATTCTGACCTGACTCCAGTTTTTTCTACCTTCCTTCCTAAAATCACTTAACACAAACCTCACAAAATGTGCCTTCCCATAGCCTCTTTCTAAGACACTCCTTGGTTTGTTCGGGATACAGAGTTCATTATTGCACTAAGATAGTAAACTTAACACTGACAAGGTTCACTCTGGTTAGTCTTTACTGCAGATATTAGCACAGCCCAGTGTCTTACAAAACAAAAGTTAGTTTAAAAAAGTTAGGTGAAACAATTACTTTCTGGTATAAAAATCTGTAAATTTGAGACACTGCTTCCCATCTAAAATATCTTATGCACCAAGCAGAGGGCAGTACATTATGAACAAAAGGGTGTACTCTCTATTTGCAAATAATTATACAGTAAGGAGTATGTATTATTATTAGTTCTTTTTTTGAGACAGGGTTTTGCCATGCAGTTAAGATTGAACTCATTTGAACTCACTTTGTAGCACAGGTTGACCTCAAACTCACAGTGATCCTCCTGCCTCAGCCTCCTGAGTGCTGAGATTATTGGTGTGTACCACCATGCCCAGCTTATTTTTAAATTTCCCCTGTCTCTTTAGTCCCTCAAGCTGTGCCATGATTTGGATCCTAGATGTCTCTCTAAAGTTCATGTGTCAAAGGCTTCATCCCTAGCACAAAAGTGTTGAGAGGTGAGACTTTTGGAAGATTACTAGACCATGAGGGCTTTGACTTCATCAGTGGATTGATCCATTTGTGGACATAGCGTAAAGGGTTTGGCAGAAGGGTCTTTGCTATAAACCTGAGCTTGCTCTGTCCCAGCCACTTGGTTAACATGAAGTAACCAACACCATCCCACCATGTGTTCTCCGCCATGATACTCTGCCTTGCCCATGCCTAGTGGAGCCAAGTGACCATGGACAAAGGCCTCTGAAACCGTGAGCCAAAATAAGTCTTCCCTCCTATCAGTTGATTGTCTCAGGCATTTTGTCACAGTGATAGAAAGCTGACAAACACACACTGCTCCCATTATTGGATGCATATTTGACCCTTTGGCTTGATCAGATTTTAGCGCCCTTTCCTCCTGCCAGGGCCTCCTTTGGACCCGGGGATGTACAAACGTCCAGAGAAAGATCAGATTGCTTCCAGGAAAAGCAAAGAATATGTTTGCAGCTTGTGGGAGTTACGGCAAGCATGTGAAGAGGGGTGATCTACAAAATCAGACTTGCATCTTGGGAAGCTCAAGGGAGCAGGAGAAGCAGAAGATGAACAAGAGGGATGGTGAGGAGAGGCAGAGACCAGATAGGAGGCTGTGGTGCCAGTACAAATGGGAGACCCGAGCCGGGTAGCTGGGGGATGCAATAGCCTGCAAATGAAGATGCAAAGGAAGACAAATAGGTCAGCATGTAAGACTTGGGCTTCCTCTCTGGCTTCTTAGTGTATCGGTTATCCAGATTTCACCTCTGTTCTCTATAGAGCATTCACATCCCTTCCAAATCTTTCCCGTGATGGTTGGGAGTCTCGGGAAATGCGTCACACATGCAGGGCGCCTGTTCTTTTGGGCACTCCCACAGGAATCTTCTGCTGATGAAGGCAGTGAATGATGAGGCACTGCCTTACTACTGCCACCTGCCTGTGTCCATGGTGACAACAATGAAAATACTTCGGTTTTTCCCGTCTTAATGTGTGAATTATACAGAGCAGACAGAGTGTGGGTGTCCAACTGTGTGTGTTCATATGTGTGTGGGGGGGTACTGAGGATTGAACCCAGAGTCCTCCCACTGTACTATGTCCCCACCCTTTTTTATTATGAAGCAAGTTCTCACTAAGTTGCTACATTGCCTAGGTGGGACTTGAACTTGTGATCCTCCTGCCTCGGCCTCCTACAGGACTTTGGTTATAGTTGTGCGCCTGCACACCAGGCTAACTAATTTTTCTACTGAGGCAAAATTCCCATGTCACTTGCTATTTTAAGAGAACAATCCACTGGCAGTCCATTCACAATGCTTGTCACTTTTAAATAAAAGTTGTCACTTTTATTTCCAAAACGTTTTTATCCCTCCACAAGAAAACCTGTATCTTTAAGTGCTCACTGCCTGTTCTTCCTACACCAGCTTCTCACAACTGAGAATCTGCTTTTTGTTTCTAACTGGAGATTTTGTAAAAATAGAGTTACACAACATGTCCCCTTTTGGGTCAGGCTTCTTTTGCCTTAGTGAATGTTTCAAAGGTCTTTTTAAATAAAATATATCAGCATTTCATTCACTTTTGTGGCTGAATAATATTCCACTGAGTGGACAGGCCGTGACTGTATGCTCTCATCAGCTAACTGACATTTAGCTTGTTTCCACCTTTTAGCCTTAGTAAATATTAAGAACATGCATATGTGTAAGTATCCCTTTGCTGTTCTCCGGGAAATTTTTAGGAATCCTAGGAGTAAGGAGTCTGGGTCATGCGGTACTTCCGTATTTAACTTTTGAGTAACTGGAAAATTGTTTTCCATAGCAGCTGAACCATGTTGCACCCTCCTAGCAATGTAGAAGAGCTTCAGTTCTCCACGTTTGCCAAATTTGTTATTTTTTGTTTTTGCTTTTCAAGTGACTGTAGCCATCCTTAGGTGTGAAGAATTGAAGTTATATGAAATGCCTGCAGTTCTAGCAAAGTCAAGTGAGAAATGGGAGCTTCCCAGCACTCTCACTGAGAAAGAGCTGTGCTATCGTGTCAATGCCCCCGTGCCTGGTTTGGACATTCTGGGCACCAAGGCAATACAGCCTCTTACTCCGTAGCAGCTTGTTCAGCCTTGATGCAGGGCTACTCTTTGTGAAGTTCAGGTGGGAGTCCATGGACTGGGTCTATGGATCCACACTGGAGTTGATCTTGGGATGCCTTCTGGCCTGATCTTTGCATTTTCACCTTTTATTCTCCTGCAAAAACCCTTAATGCAGATACATACATAGACACAGCATTGCATCTGAGCTTAGGTACACCCAGGGTTCTTGTTAGCATGGAGAGTGGAGCCAATCACACAGATAATTCAGAAAGACAAACCGCTTTGGGGTCCCTTTGAGTGCAAAGCTCCAAGGACATGTCCAGGAAGTATTTGGGCTCTGCATCAGGGTTGAGGGTGGATTCATGCAAGATGCAGAAGTGGTTGGAGTACAGGTAGGAGCTGAAGATGTAGGAGAAGGTCCACCGTGTCAGTTGGTGATGAACTGGAATGAAATGTACTGGTTCGTTCGACTATTCCTTTAATTTTTAGGAACATTATCAGAAAGGAGGCTGGCTTATAAGCTGAGCTGTGCACGCCATCTCTAAATCACACATTGCTGATGAGTGAGCATCTCTGTTATAAATGGAAATGTGAACTGGCAGATGTTTATTGGCTAAAACCAAATGTCCCATTTATTTTGGTGCCTGTTATGCCCATGATCTCCCGTTTTCCTTGTTTACTGTAAATATGCACAAAGAATAGAAAGCTGCTGTGTGATTCAAAAACATGACAATGTTTTCACTGTTGCATAGGTAAAAGTGGGTGTGGACTGGAGTCTTCATTACTCCACTGAGGTCAGAACTGTCTTTTAGTGGGCTTCTAATTCTTTTTGAAAGTTCAAGACATCAGATGAGACATGCTCAAAATATTTCAAGTGGCTCCTTCCTCGGGCTCTTCTCTCTCCACTTCCTCCCAGGGATCTGTTCCCACTTGTGGGGTTTAAGTCATTCTCTATCTGCAGATGCTACTTGTCTGACCTCACTTTCTGGAATGCTCTGTCTGCTTCTGAGTTTCATTCCAGGAAACATCAGCACACATTTCCGCTGGCATTCCTGCTGGGCTGTCTTTCTCCTGAACTCTTGAAAGCCTCCTGCTTCAGTGACTGCCAGGGAATGGTTTAGAAAAAGAAATTTGCAGAAAAAGAGATTTGTCCTGCAGCAAAGTCTGCGTTGCTTACTGTGTTCCACTTTATGTATTGACTACTTCTGTTGTGGAATGTTACTGCATTTTCTCTATTCACCCGATCCTCAATCCTATCCTAATATAGGTTCTTACGTCCTTTTGAAGTGAGGCATGCAAGTCCTCCCAAGAATTCTTGTCACATTAGTCTTTGTATTTCCTTCAAAACTATGATCATAACCCAAAATTATTTTGTGTACTTATTTACATGTTTACTGTTTTCTCCTTCGAAAGACAAGCTCCATAAGATGGGGTCTTGGTCTTCGTCTAACACCTAGAGAAATGCTTGGCTGGGTGGCAGTTGTTCCAGAAATATTTGTGGTTGTTTGCCACAAACTAGAATCAATAGTTTAAATTTCACGTGAAAATTATCTTCCTATCATGTGTCTTTTTTGGCTGATTTTGAACAATATTGCTCAAATTTAACTGATGTTACTACCAAATGTCAGTTAACTACGGTAATGGCTCTCAAACCTTCGGGTTCCCTTTACACTCTTAAATATTATTGAGATTCCCAATACCTTTTGTTTATATGGGATATACCTATCATTATTTAATAGAAATTAAAAATGAGAAGATCCAAAAATTTATTAATTCACTAATAATAATATACTTATATTTAACATTAATTTTTTAGTACTCTAATCAAGCAAAAGTAGGATGGAGAAATGCGTTATTTTGCATTCCGTAAACCTCTTTAATGTGTGGCTTAGTAGCAGGTATCTGGGTTCACAGATTTGCCTCTAGATCAGTCTGTCGTGATAGCACATACTGTGCAGCTTCTGAAAATTTGAAAAAGAATATACCTACTCAAAAGATGGAAAGGCAGCTAAATATCTAGCAAAAGGAGGTATCTTGGTTGCATTCCTTGTGGTACATCTATAGATGTCATTCTGTCTTTGTCTGCTTTGTTTTTATCACTGAATACCATAGACTGGATAATTTATAAAGACTGGAGTTTTGTTAGCTGAAGAATCTGGAGCATGGAGCTGGCTTCCACTCTGCATCTGGTGAGACTTTCCCGCTGCATCTTAACATGGCAGAGGGCATCCATGGTGAGAGAGGGGTCAAGCTGGCCAATTTGAGTCTCTCTTCCTCTTATAAAACCATGAAAGCTGTCATGAGGGACCCACCCTTGTGATTTCTCTCAACTCTAATTACCTCCCAAAGGTCCCACCTGTTCCAAATACCTCAAAGTGGAGATTAAATTTCAGTATGAGGTGAAGATGTTCAAACCATAGCAAATATGATGCAGTCATTAAAACAAAGAGGCAGGGGCCAAGGACTTAGCTCACTGGTATAAGCACCTGTTTGGCAAGCATGAGGTCATGAGTTCAACCCCTGGTACCAAAAGAAAAAAAAAAGCTTAAAAAAATAAAAAAAAATAAGCAGCTCTATTGGCAACTAATATAGAACCATGTCTAAGATAAGTTGTTGTATGAAAAAATAACACAGCACAAGGTTTATCGTGCATGGCCATGCTGAACATGATACCCAACACCCACAACTCGAAGGAGAGGTTTAATCTGACTCATAGTCTAAGGGGATTAATCCAGGGCCAGCAGGCAGAACCATCATGGCAGAGGGACATGGTAGCTGGCAAGTAGGGCAGGGCAAAGAGGAAGACGGCAGGGCTAGACATAGACATCATGGCCACGTTCCCATGACCCACCCAGTATGTGCACCACAAATCGTGGGGGCAGATCTCAAAGCCAGTCAAGTTGATACTCCATCCTAATCACCACAGGCCATTTGCGTTTAGGAAATGTGTATTATTGTGCACACAGAACTGGTTGCTGACCTAAACACAGAGGCCAGTGGGAGATGGTTTGTTTTTCTGTGGTGTAACCGTTTTCACCTCATATATATCTCTCAGTATCTGTGTGGTGTGGACAAAGACTCCAGCTTTTCAAGCCCTTCCAGAGAGCAGAACAATATAGCCATGTATATGATTAAAACTTCTCTCTCAAAACCAGCTGGAAACTACTGAGCTCCTCCCTCCACTCTGTTCTCTTTCCCTGTCCCCTCCACTTCCATTTTCCCTGAGTGGGGGACAGACAGGGGATAAAAAGGAAAGATGTGAGGTTTTCGCCAGTGACAGCTCTGTCGTCCTTTCTTACTGATGCTCTTCCATCAAGGCTGTTGTCCAAATGCTTCTAGGGGCCTGGCTATCCTGGGGACCCACTTCCAAGGGCTCCCACAAACCTCTCTGCACCCCCTCATTTCTCATAGGGTGAGGTGGTCACCAGCAGACCCTTGTGCTCTCCTATCTGCTTCTGCCCCAGTGCTTTCAGGCCACTTCTGGTGCCCTGGCAGGTGGCATTTGGGGTCCTTCAGTGTGGCCTAAGCTTTGTTGACTTGTCAGCTTCTAATACTCTGGGAGCTCTGGGTCCACGCCTTGCCTGGCTGGAGCAGCCTTCCCCATCGCTGCCCTCTCTCACCCTACTCTGCAGAAGGCAGGTGTGGGCTTGATGCTCATTTATCTCCTTCTCTAACACATTCTAGGGGTCCCAGGCCAAATCCCTCCTCCCCCAAATGAACATTTGCCTGCCCTCTCTGCTCGAGGCATGCTGGGATGTGTCTGCAAGATTTTACAACATCATAAACTTCCAACCAAGGTCACAATGTACAGAGTCTGGTTCAAAATGGAAATGTAGAATCCCTTGTCCAAAAGAAGAAAAAGTGAAACAAAAGGCACTAAAAATACATGGCTTTTTCCTTAAAAATATCTTATTTTGGGGGCTGAGGATATGAGTCAGTGATAGAACTTGGGCTTGGCATTTTCAAGGCCTTGTATGTGCTCAAAGTTTTTATACTTAGAAAACATAATAAGGATAACAGTGTTGCATGAGCATGGCATAAAGTTACAAACTGCAAAGGAGGGCCATTTCATATAAACAAATAATAATAACTTGTTAATGTTCAATTTTTTAAAGAGAAACGGCAACAAAAATGATACAAAATTTCAAAACAAGCTAGTAGGAGAGTAACCATGGTTAATACATTGTATATTGTTATCTTCAAAGCAGCTGCTCAGATTACAAGACATAGGAATGAAAAATTGATCAAAAACATAAGTACAAACCTTTCCTTTCAACGAACTAATAGCGATTAACAGTGTAACTATCATGTGTATATTTTTAATTTACTTTTTCTTTTCCCTTTCTTTTCTCCTTTTCCCCATCCCGGTTTTTTCTTTCCTTTTGAATAGTTTCCTCCCATTTCACAATATATCTTGTACATTTTGGATCTCACTTACTCTTTCAGCTTCTTACACCAGGGAGAACATGATGTTTATACAGGAGAGTCTGATTTATTTCACTTATGAGTATGGTCTCAAGTTGCATCCATCTGCCATCTCAAGTTTGTCCTTCCATATGGCTAAGTAGCACTTTATTGTATAAAAAATACATTGTTATTATCCACACCTTGGTTGACAGGCATTTGTGTTGTTTCCAAGATTTAGTTATTACAAATTGTGCTTCTATAAACACAGATGCACATATGATATTTTTAATTATTTTGGGAAAATACTCAGAAGGAGAATGGCTGGATTGAATGCAACCACTGTCTTTTTTTTTTTTTTTTTTTTTTTTTTTTTTTTTTTTTTTTGAGGAATCTCCACATTGATTTCCACAGTGGCTGCCCCAGGCTACACACTCAACAGCAGTGGAGAAGGGTTCCTTTCCCCCTCTAGCTCCTCCAGCATTTGTTAATTTCTTGATAACTATACTTACTGGAGTGAGATGGAATCTCAGTGTTGTTTCAATTTGCATCTCTTGAGTTACAGTGAAGTTGAACATTTCTTCATATATTTATTTATTATTTGTATGTCTTCACGTGAGAAGTGCATAGTCATCTCAGATGCTCATTTTTGGTTTGGATCTTTGAATTGCGGGGAGGTCTGATTTTTTCAGTTTTTCATGTTTTAAATATAACTCCTTTGTCTGAGGAACAGGTGGCTAAAATTTTTTTCCACTCTGTGGGTTATCTTTTCACACTGTTGGTGATTTCTTTTGATGGGCAAGAGCGTTTTAATAATGAGATCCCAATTATCGATTCTTTGAAGTATTTCCCATGTTGGTTGGGTTTTGTTCATAAACTCTCTGCCTATACCTATGTCTTCAAGATTTCTATGTACTTTCTCTTTCAGTGTATTTAGTGTTTCTGTTTTAATATTTAGCGTTTTGATTCATTTTGACTTTAGTGTGTAGTGATAGACATGATTCTCCTTTTGATCTTTGGCATGTGGAGAGCCAGTTTTTCCAGCACTATTTATTAAAGAGGTTATTTCTCTCCCAGTGAACATGCTTAGCCCCTTTGTCAAAGATAAGGTGGCTGAGTGTGTTTGTAGTTGTGTCTGCATCTTCTAGTATGTTCCACTGATCCTAGGTCTGTTTTTTTTTCCAGCACCATGCTGATTTTATCACAGCAGCTTTGTAGTATAATTTTAAGTCAGGGATTGTTATGATTCTTGCCTTGCCTTTGTTGCCCAGAGCTGCTTTTGTTATTTTAGTCTTCTGTTTCCAAACAAATTTTAAGAATGTTTTCTCTAGGGCTGGGGATTTAGCTCAGCAGCATAAGCACCTGCCTTGCAAGCAGGCGGTCCTGAGTTCGATACTCAGTACCAATTTGAAAAAAAAAAGCATGTTTTCTCTAGTTGTATGAGATATGCTAATTTTGATTGGAAATTTTTATTGGAATTGTCTTAAATCTGTATAACAATTTTTGGAGAATGACAATTTTCACTATGTTGGTCCTTCCATGAGCAAGGACTATATTTCTATTTTCTGATATCCTCTTCAATCTCCTTTTGTAGAATAATGTAATTTTCAATGTATAAATCTGTTACTTCCGTTTTTAGATTACAAATTTTACTGGATGCTACTGTGAAGGGTATGGTTTCCCTAATTTCTCTCTCAGTGAGTTTCTTGAGGAATGCTATTGATTTCTGTGTGCTGGCTTCATATCCAGGTATGTTACTGAATTTGCTTATTAAATCTAGAAGCTTTTTGGTGGAGTTTTTGGGATCTTCTATATAGTGTATTATCTGTAAACAATGAGAATTTAACTTTTTCCTTCCCTTACTTTATCCTTTTTATTTCTGTCTCTTGTCTAATTGCTATGGTTAATGTTCCCAGTACTATATTGAGTAGGAATGGTGATAGTGGGCATCCTTGTCTTGTTCCTGATTTTAGAGTGAAAGCTTTCAGTTTTTGGCCATTTAGTATGATGTTGGCTGTTGGTCTGTGATAGATGGCTTTTTATCAGATTGAGGTAAATACCATCTATTCCAATTTTCTGTGGGTTTTTTTTTATCATGAATGATTGTTGGACTTTATCAAAAGGTTTTTTTATGTATTTATTGAGATGATCATGTGATTTTTGTCTTTGGTTCTATTGATATGGTGTATTACATTTATTGATTTGTGCATATTGAACCATTCCTGCATTCCTGTGATGAAGCCTACTTGGTCATGCTGGATAATCTTCTTGATGATTTGTTGCATTCTGTTTGCTGGTATCTTCTTGAAGATTTTTGCATCTATGTTCATTAGGGAGATTGGCCTGTAGATCTCCTTTTTCTCTGGTTTTGGTATCAGGGGAATACCTACCTACCTTTAGGAATGAATTAGGGAGTATTACTTCCTTTACTTTATTAAAGAGTTTGTGGCATAGTGGCATGAAATTTTCTCTAAAATTCTTGTAAAATTCAGCAGTGAATCCAACAGGACCTGGAATTTTGTTTGCTGGTAAAATTTTCTCATTAACTGATACTGGGTTATTCAGAATTTTTGTATCTTCTTGATACAGCATTTGTACTTCATATGTATATAAGAATCTGTCCATGTCTTCTGTGTTTTCTATCCAATGGGACTAATGGTTTTCAAAATAGGTATTGATGATCTTCTACATTTCCACAGGATCTGAAGTGATTTCACAGTTTTAATTCCTCAGTGCTTGACTTTTGAGTTTTTTCTTTCTGTTTTTGGATAAGGTTGGTTAACAGTTTACCAATTTTATCTATTCTTTTAAAGAGCCAACTCTTCAAATCATTAATTCTTTGTATTGCTTTCTTAGTCTCCACTGTAGTAATTTCTGCTCTGATCTTTATACTCTCCTCCCTTGTATGGGCTTTGGGCTTGTTTTGTTCTTTTTTTTTCCCTAGAAGCCTGAAGTGCAACATTAGATTGTTTATTTGTGCTTCTCCTGTTTTCCTGATGTGAGAATTCTCAGCTATAAATTTTCCTCTTATGATTTCTTTCATTTTGTCTCATAAGTTTTTGGTATGTTGTACCTACTTTCTTATTAGTTGTACATATTGTTTAATTTCTTCTTCAATTTTTCTGTGACCTACTGGTTGTTTTGGGGGGTGCTATTTAATTTCCATGGGTTAATGCTGTTTTTGTGGTTTCTTTTGCCATTAATTTCTAATTTCATTGCACTGTGGTCAGATAATATATGAGATCATTTTAATTCATTTGCATTTACTTAAGTATGTTCTGTGGGCTAGTATATGGAATAGTCTAGAGAATGTCCCATGTGCAGCCAAGAATAATGTGTATTCTGATGATGTTGGATGGAACACTGAAGACATAGTTACTAAGTCCATTTGTTCACCAATTTGGCTTACTTCTGGTATCTCTTTGCTGATTTTTTTTGTCTAGTTGATCTATCTCTTGGTAACAATGGGCTATTAACATTTCTTGTTACAACTGTGTTATCACCTATTTGATTTTTCATACCTATTAATAATTGTCTTATATAATTGGGTGCTCCTATATTTGGTGTATATATATTTATGATTGTTATCTTTTCTCCTTGAAATTTTTCCCTAAGAAGTACATAGTGACCTTCTTTATCTCTTTTGATCATTCCTTGTTTGAAGTTCACATTGTCTGCTAACTGAATAGCCACCCCTGCTATTTTCTGGTTTCTTGTTGCATGGAGGATTGTTTTCCATTCTTTGACGTTGAGTATATGAGTTTCTTTTTGAGTTAAACGTGTTTCTTGTATATTGTTGAATATTATTTCGTGATCCATTGTGCCAAGATGTTTCTTTTGATTGCTGAATTGAGGCCATTTACACTGATGGTTATAACTGCTATTCACTGGCTTATCTTTGTCATGAAATTTTTCTGCTGTTGGTTCCCTGATTTTCCCCTCTGTTAAACTGCTTGCCCTGATGGTGGTTTCTTTCTTGGGTTGTTTTTGGAATTGTGATGATTTTTATCTCTGTCTGGAATATCTTTCAGCATTCTTCATAGGGTCGGTTTAAACGGTGGTCATAAATTTCTTCAGTTGTTCTTTGTCATGGAAGTATCCCATTTCTCCATTAATTTTGAAAGATATTTTTTCAGGGTCAGAAATTTAGGTTGGAAGCTGTTTTCTTTCAGGACTTGAAATATTTTGTTCCAAGCTCATATTAACTTGAGGGTTTGTTTTGAGAAGTCTGCCATGATTCTGATGGGTTGTCCTTTATGGGTGATCTATTTGTTTTCTTTAACAGCTTTTAATATTCTGTTTTTGTGCTGAATGTCTGGAATCTTGATTATTATATGATTTGGTGTAGTTTTATTTTGGTCATGGCTGTTTGAAGTTCTATATGCTTCATTTATTTGTATGTCAAATTCTCTATCCATGCTTAGAAAATTTTCGGCCATTATTTCTGTGAAGAATTTTTTGATTTTTCGTCATCTTTTGCTATTTTTAAGATATGTTTCTTTTCATGATCTCTAGTTGCAATTCTGTCTTCAAGATCTGATCATTTTTCCTCTCCTTATTTAATCTGTTGCATATTTTTCAGTGATGGTTTTAAATCTCTTGGATGGTTTGACTCTGATTCATGGATCCCATTTTTTTTCTTGAATGGAGGACACAGGAGGGAAAGAATGAGACAAAAGAGTAATCACAAAGGGAAGAGACAGTGTTTACTCCAAAGGTTAAACTCAAGATGTAGTTGAAAAAAGTGAGAAAGTGAATAAATAAAAGAAAATGAAAAAGAAAGATAAGAAACCTACACTGTGAAAAAAGGAGGAAGAAATGGAAAATGAAAAAGAGACCACAATAAGAGAGGGAAAAAACCCCACAAAACATAAACCACCACAAAATACAAAGCAAAACAAGATGACATCCAACCAGACAGGAAAAGGACAGCCAATCAAACAAGGGAGAATAAAAGTGGTAAAATACTTCTGGTGTCTACGGTTCTGCGATGGTGTCCACGTCAGATCCCAGAAATGTGCTGTGTACTCCGCTAGTTTGCCATAGGCATTGTTCAGAGCTCACCTGTATGAAGAGGTAAAGGGTGAGAGTTATACAGGCCCAGCAAACTTCACATCATCAAACCAAACACTGTACAAAGAAATGATGTGAGAATGAGGAAGTGAAGAGCCCAGTGCGTACTTCCGTTATCCTCCCTCTGGGGTTGGGGTCCAGCCCAGGGCACCGTGCAGCTAAGCACATGCTCCTACCTCTGAGCTAGGTTCCCACCCTTTCTTTCAAAAGAAGGTCGGTCTGTGGACAAAGGAGCGGCCAGCCATTCTTAAATTTCCTTCAGCAGATAAACACACTTTGCTTTCAGCAATGTACCATCATTTTCATACTAAGGTGGCAGACAACTTGGAGTGAGTTTTAAGTTTTTGACCATATTGGGAGACAGTGGCTCGTCTTTAGTTGTCTGAAGACCAATTGATCAATTTTGAAAATAAATCATACTATAGTATCACATATAGAAAATCTGCTTATTCAGAGTCACAAATTTTTTCTCTTCTGTCTTCAACACCCTCATTAAAGGTTTTATATTGAGTCCTTTGATCTAGCTTGGAATTTTTTTCTATATGAAAGACATGAGAAAAGAAGGAAAAAATAGAAATAAAGCTTTTGTAAATAAGGAGGAGAAGAGGGGTTGAAGGGAGGGGAGGAGGAATGGGAAAAAAGAATCAAGATATATTGTGAATAGATACAAGCTTCCTATAATGAATACCGTCATTATGTGTACCTAAACTGTATCAATAAACTTAATTAATTAAAACAAAAAGAAAGCAAGTGTAGATGAAGTCTCAGGTCACGGGGGTACTCAAATGAAAAACATACGCTACAGTGAATGCAGAACATTGTTAAATTTAGTTTTCCAAGGTAAAGTCATATTTATTCTATTCACCTTAAAACACAAAAATATTCTGATAGCCGCCTTATTCATAAGAGATGCATGGAATATATAGACATTGCAGTTGTGTCTTTTCCCCCTAGGACTCAAAGAAAACCTTTGAATTTCTGTGATTTTCTGGGTTCAAGGCAGACCGTGTATTGTCTTTCTGCTAAAAGATTATGCACATAGTAGTGTTTGTTGAGAACTGCAGGTAGCTCAACATGGGCAGAGAGTGGGAGGTGGGGATAGGCTTCATCTCCACAAAGAGGTGAATGTCAAGTGACCTTTAAAACGAGATTGTGCAAGGATCTCATCCAAGACCTTGGAGTCACTGAAAGCCCTGGCATTGGCTGTATTGATGTTGTGCTAGGTTTACTTTGTAAGAAAGAGAGGGCAAAGTACAAAGGAAAGGACATCTGTTACTTCTAGTGAGTTAAGCTCTCTAAAAATATTTCTCTTTTGGTGACCACTTGTTGCTTTGAGCTTTTGATCTTTTGTTCTGGAAATAGGACATGTAGAATTCTTCTGCTTTTTGCTCTATATTAAAAGTATGGCGCTAGTGCCTCCACTGCAGAAGTGAGGGCTTCATTTGATATGCAAAGCTTTTGTGGATACAGGGTTTTGGAGAGTAAAGGAGGGAACAATCCAATTATTCTTGAGAAGCTTGAGAAGCTTTTTAATTCATTTAAAAAAGAATTATAGCACAGGGTATGGGTGCCATGTTCCTATAATCTCAGCAGTTTGGGTGACTGAGGTAGTAGGATCCAAATTTTGTGCCCAGCCTAGGCTATTTGGTGACTTAGCAAAACTTAGCTCATAAATCAATAAATCAGTAAAGGCTAGGGATGTAGCTCAGTGGGAAGCTCCTGAGTCCAGTACTTAAACAAATAAAAAAGGATTACATTCATCCCACGGATTCTAAAGAAACATATTATTCCATGATGAGCTATATGATTAGGGAGTCAGGGACTGCTGACTGGTCAAAATGAAGGAAAAGAGTCTCAGGAACCAGCCAACTTTCCAATCAATTTCACATTAGTCAGATTGATGCTTGGACTAAGCAGAAAAGACTCATGGGATATTTTAATGTCTGCACAGTTGTGGAATCTTGAAAGCACAAATAGCTTCCCAGGGGATGGTCCTAGCAAAATCACTGAACTTCAGCCAGTCAGGTGGTATCAGCTCTTTTTTTAAAAATCCATTTTATTTCAAAGAGAACAACAACAACAACAACAAACCAAAATTTCAAAACATGCTAATCAGGGGGCAACTATGGTACATACATTGCACATTGTCATCTTCAGATCATTCACCCAGAGCACAAGACGACTGCATTCAATTATCTGAACAATACTGGCACAAATCTTTTTCTTCAGTGAACTCAGAGAAATCAGGAGTATAACTATCTTAACTATTTTATATACATACACATTTACATATATTTTTTCAGCTTCTCACACTAGTGAGACAATATGATGTTGACACGTGTCTGATTTATTTCACTTATAAATGTTGTGTCAAGTTGTATCCATTTATCTATAAAAGTCTCAACTTACCCTTCTTTATGTCTGGCTAGTATTCCATTGTATAAAAATACTACATCTTTTTTATCCATTCCTCAGTCAAGACGCATTTAGGTTGTTTCCAAGATCTAGTTATTACAAACTGTGCTGCTATAAACATGGTTGCACATATATCGCCGTGGTATGATGTTTTAAATTCTTTTAATAAGATACCCAGAGGGGAATAGCTCGGTCAAATGGGACCTCCAGTCCTAGTTTTTTGAGGAATCTCTACATTGATTTCCACAGTGGTTGCACCATTCCACACTCCCACCAACAATGGAGAAGGGCTCCTTTTACCCACAGTGCTGCCAACAGTTGTGATTGCTTGATTTCATGATGATAGCCATTCTTTCTGGAGTGAGGTGGAATCTCAGTGTTGTTTTAATCTGTGTCTCTTGAAGGACCAGTGACATTAAACATTTTTTCTCATATTTATATGCTGTTTGTATTTCTTTGTTTGAGAAGTATATATTCATCTTAGATGCCAATTTTTGGATTGGGTCTTTAAATTTGGGAGGACTGATTTTTTTTTTTTTTTTTAGTTCTTTATATGTTCTAGATAGTAATCCTTTGCCTGAGGAACAGCTGGCAAACATTTTCTCCCAGATTGTGGATTGTCCCTTTGCTCTGTTGGTGGTTTCTCTTACTGTGTGAAAGCTTTTCAGTCGGGTGAGATCCCAGTTATTGATTCCTTGAGACAGTTCCAGTGCAATCAGAGTTTTGTTCATAAAGTCTTTGTCTACACCAATATCTTCAAGAGTTTTACGTACTCTATCTTTGAGCAGATTTAATGTTTCTGGTTTAATATTAACACCTTTGATCCAGTCTGATTTTAGCTTAGTGCATGATGAAAACCGTGGATATAGTTTTAATCTTTAGCATGTTTAGAGCTAACACTAGTTTTTCCAACACTATTTATTAAAGAGGCTAAAAGCTTTTTATTATGATATTCTTCCTCTTCCTCTGTCCAGTCACCTCCTTCTGTTTTTCTTTCTTTTCACCTTTTCTCCTCCTTCTTTTAAATATGCTTTTCCCCTTCCCCTTCATGTTACAGGAACAAATTATGCTCACTGTGGAAGGTAACAACATGGTGTGACCTAAGAGCTCTGGCTTTGGGATCAAAACTGAATTTTAAAATACGGGTCTGTTGCTGACTGGGTTTGCCACCTTGAAGAAGTCACCCATCTAATAGGTCTTGGTTACCCAACTGTTGCTGGAAACATGAATGCTAGCTACCTCCCAGAGTTGATGTGTGAGTTTAATGACACTCATGCGACACTCATGTGTGCCTACCATGCAGGGCCAAGCACAAAGTATGGTGTATTAACAAAGATCAGAAGAAGGTAGAACACTGAAGCTGCCTGCAGTTCAGCTGCTGCGAAGTGAGCCTTCTCCACAGGTACATTTTTCATGCGAGACTTTCCCAGGGAAGACCACCAAATTAGTTCACCAGTATTTACTCAGCCTGGCACAAAGGCATATAGCAAGAGACAGAGTTATAACTCATAACATTCTCTGATTTCTCTCCTGTGCTAATGATCTTTCTAACATTTAGCTGTTCACCACTGACTTATTCAAGAAGTGTGCATTTGTAAGTGCCAGACACTGTGCCAGAGAGAACAAATGAATGAAGTACGTTTGTCAGATGGTGATAAACAGAGTAAGTAGGTGTCGAAACAGAAGAGGGTTGCAATTTGAAGGTTGTGAGGCACCACTGCCTCAATTACAAGCTGATTGCCACTGATTTGTTTTGGCTAATGAAATGCAAGAGGAACTTGGTAAGTGCCTATCGCATGAACCAGGAGGAGAACCAGCAGCTCCCATGAGCCTACCAGCACATGAGCTGAGAATCAAACACCCCCCCCACCCCAAGCAACTGGGGATAGATGTCTCAGCATCTCTTGGGGGGATGACAAATGCAATGTAGCAAATATGGGGGAGCTCCTACTATCTTCTGTTTGAAGGCAAAGATTGTTTTCACTGTTTTGTTTTGTTATGTTTCAACTGGTTTTATAATGTTCTGCTTTTGGTTTGATTTCACTATACCGAATTGACTGGACAACTATTGTGAAGATAATGAGACATACTATGGTACCTATTACTACCATCCCAGTATCCTACTGTGAAGTTCTGTACCAATTTCACTGCATTGTCTCGATTGGCTTTGTCTTCTTGTTCTGTTGTATTTTTACTACATTCACAATAAAATTAAAAAAAAAAAAAAGAGATGCAAGAGGAAGATGTTGTGTGATCTTCCAGAGAGAAGCTTTAGGACCCAGCGTTCGCTCATCTAGCATTTCTTTCCCCTGCCAGGTTGTTCTAGAAAGAGGTGACTTTTTAAACCTGAGCTCTGGTGCGAGTATAACATGCACCTGAAATTCCAGCTCTCTGGTGGGTATGCAGTGTGGAGGGGAAGTAAACATTTATGTGGCCTGTTTCTGGATATAGCTTATCTGGAAACCGTAATTTTAAAATTATTTTTCATATATTTTAAAAAGTCAAATCATCCATCAGGGTTATGGTGGTGTACCCTTGTAATCCCAGCACCATGGGAAGCTGAGATAGGAGGATTC